ATTTTCTCGCCGATGCTGCTCACAGGCTTCCCGCACAAAGATAATCGTCAAGCCAGGGCATGGGTCTCAGGGCAAGGTGCTGCAGAGGGCGGTAAGTGATCGACCCCAGAATTTCCGGATCCGTCCAGGGGCCACATTTCATCCTAACCTCCATACGCATGCTATGAAACGTCGTTGCATTGCTTTTCTCCCCAAACAATTCTGGTGATCCTACAAGTTCTGCAAACATCCATCCGAAGAGCACCATTCCGTGCATACCTCCAGTGGCACTACTACAACCCTCCCAAGACGCCGCCGCCATGACTATCGCCCCACCGAGATCCTCAAGCTCCACGCCCAGCACGACTGCTACCCCTCCCCCTCCCGCGCCAGCTCTCAACGGCTCCCTGCGCCCCCCTTACTCCTCCACCAAGTCGCACCAGTCGGGCACGATCGAGAACCACTGGAACGACCTCCCCGCTGCGTTCCTTCCAACGTCGCGCAGCGTCTCTCCTAACCCTGCTACTGCCGCCTCTGCTCATGGGACTAGTAGCTCTGATGACTTCGGTACGCTCCTAACGGAGCTCTTTAGTGCGTCTACGCCCACGACGCTGATAGCACGTGAGCACAAAATGTGCTATGATCGTGTCCTCAAGGCTGCGCCGGGGCTGAGTGAGGGCCAGAAGGCCGAGCTTGCTGGTGTGATGAGACCGGTGCTAGAAAAGAAGGAGACTCCGCAGTGGGGAAGGGAAAAGGTCGTGGAGTTTATGATGCGTGAGCGCGGCGTGGCAGGATGGGCTGCAGCTTTGAGGAGGGGTGTTGAGTGCGTTAAATGGGAGTAGATCGACTATCAAGATGGTGATGGGTCGGTGAGCTTTACTTTGGATGGAAGGGTTTAATGGCGTTTTATGGTGATCTGGGAAATGTGAATACTTACTACGCATATCGTACTTTGATAGAGGCATCTATTGTTAATCGTTTGGATAGATAATGCATCTACAACATCATTTTTTACCCATATAACATCTCATAAATCCAACTTGTAGAATTTGGCCATAGCTGTTTGATGTGCAACCCCGCAGATCTGCCCGCACACCGCATAACCCAGTCGCTCAAATCCAGACCTACGTGTACTAGTTAGTTCTCTTTCAGCTACCGCTAGGAGTTTTCCTCTCAATCGGGTTTTTTACTTTCTTACTTTCATCATAGTAGTTATTGTCGTTTTTCTGCATTCTCAACCACTGTTGCTAGATTTTGTCAGTACTCACTGCACGGGGACTTCATCATGTGTGTTTCTGTGCCACAGCGCCTCCTCTTACTCCCACCAAACAGAGCACGATGAAGCTGGGGCTATCACAACCTGCACACACATGCCACTAGACATCTATACCACCAATATCCAATCCCGAACTTTTCACCCCAGCCTTCCAAAAATTGCGGTCGAATAAGTCATCTTTTTCGAGGAATTGCCATTAGGATCCCACAGGCCATACTTACAATGATTTAGGCTTGAAGGACAGTACATGATGTCTAAAGTGGACACTTAAATAACTTACCAGGACATCAAGACTCGGAGGAAGACTCTCCCATTTGACAAATGCGTTATTTCTTTTGAGAGCCCCGGTTCCTACAAGGAGACAAACTATAGCATATTCGGTGACATGAACCATCTAAGAGTTTACAATCGATATAGTATTGTGTTATGCTGTTTACATGGCACCGTTGCCGTTTCGCTATGTGTCTCCTTGAGCTCGTGTAGTTTCTACTGCACCATGATACTCAGAAAATTAGCCGTAGTTATCAAGAGTCAAATCTTGATAGTAAATAGCAGAAAACTTGCTTGAAAAGATATCAGTCAACCTAATTCACCCCTTAATCAGGAGGCATAGATATGGCATAACTACCGTTCCAGAACCCCGGTGCTATTTGTGTTGAAGATTTGCTGACTTAGGCAGAGAAGTTAGAAAAGTTATTGCCCCCATCACACCAAATTTACATGCAGACCTCTACAAAAATATATTGTGCATGCCAAAAACAAGAATTGTTGAACACACGCATGCAGGTGTCAAAAAACAGCAATTCGAATACAACCCTGAGGTTCAGGCTTGCTTACCCACTCCATCATACTAGCATTCTATTTAACACTGTGGTACACGACTCTGGTGTGGCTTCGATAAGATACCACCATTACGGCAAAGGCCTCTCTGCCAAATTCCCCCTTACGATATCACCTCAGATTCATGTCTCAGTATTTCCTATCATCAAGATATACATATCCCATTGTCCGACACGGGAAACTCTTATTGAGAATACAATGAATTTATCCAATGAGAGTGTTGCAAAAGCATCGGGAGTATGTTTCGTCTGGATCTATACCAAGATTTCACATATTAACAACTACTACATCATGGATGACACGGGATGAAAGACGTATAGCGGGGCCTCTGTTTGATCTCTGCCACTACCAGGACTGCCACTACCAGGACTGGTTCTACTAGACGAAACGGGAAAATATGCATTTTAATTAAGCGAGACCATGCATGATTACTATACAAAGCTTATGCCGGCGTCGTTGTGACCTTGTCTATAAAGCCCTGTTATGTGGGCATGCATTATGCATTATGCGGTATAGTGTTTATGGCATCTCTACAAGACCAAAAAGTAGGTAGTTATGTAATAGGAGGAAGGTGTCGTCTAAATAATAGACATTTAGGATAGAACTCCTTCTGATTTCCAGCCTTAATCTTCCTTAACAGCAGTCATCATGGAGATTGAAGATATTCTTAGCCTCCCTAGCATCTATCTATCATCTTCGACAACCCTGAGTCTTCTCCGTGATTTAAGTATCTTCGCCGTCGTTTCAATCCTCCTCGCCATCACCCGATATGTCGTTTATAACCTATATTTCCACCCCCTCCGTTCCTTTCCCGGTCCCTTTTTAGCGCGCTCCTCAAAGGTTTACATTATTCTCGCTATCTATCGCGGGCAAGAGCACCTTGCCGATGAGGCCTTGCATAACAAGTACGGTCCCCTAGTTCGCAAAGGTCCAAACCTCCTACTCTTCAAAGATGCTAGTCTGCTACCAGTTTTCTACCACCGCTATGCAGACAAGACTAGCCACTACGAGTATCTAAGGTACTTTGGCTTCCTAGGCATCCAGCCACACACGGCGCATAGTGAAGCGCGGAAGAAAGTCGCCGCGCCGTTTGCAAATTCTGCAGTGATGAAGATGGAAGGGGCAGTAGCGACGCGGGTCGATGAGTGGGTGGAGACTATGGGGAGGGAGTTTGCAGATACTGGACGGAAGCTGGATTTTGCGTATTGGGCTTCGTAAGTTTTTACGTGCTCTATATTAGGCTACGACTGACACAAAAAGGTACTATGCATACGATGTCATCTCAGAACTCTGCTTCGGGCGTCCGTTCGGATTTATCAAGGCTGGCAACGACTTCTATGGTCTGGCGGATGGTTTCAAAGACCATATATTCTGGCAAGGCTTGTTTGTGCGTCTTCCTAGCGTTGTGCGGGCGCTACGGGGAACACGGTTCCAACGATTTTTGGACCCAACGTCAAAGGACGGGAAAGGACTAGGGTGCGTCATTGTAGTAAGTATGGCCCTACGATTTTATTCGACTGATGCAAAAATCTAACCTACGTGTAGATCCGTGATGAGCTAATCAAAGACCGCCTCGAAAACCCCCAGCTCGGCGGTACCGATATCCTGTCACATCTCCTCGCTGCATATAATACGGGTTCACTGACAATGAATCAACTGAAAAACGACCTTCTGATCTTCATGGTAGCCGGCTCAGACACTGCTGCCATCACTTTACGAACCCTGTTGATTCAAATCCTCACCCACCCACGTGTGCATGCTACCCTCCAAGCCCAATCTGCTGGCGACTATGCGTACCTCGACGCCTGCCTCCGCGAAACACTCCGTCACACTCCAGCCGCACCAGACGGATTTCCCCGACTTGTGAGCAAGGGCGGCGCAGACCTACCTGCACCATATAACATACATGTACCTGCCGGTACAGAGATAATGGCGAATTCCTATTGCAACAACAGAGATCCGGCAGTGTTTAGTGAGTATTGTGACGAATATAGGCCCGAACGCTGGCTGGAGGGAGGGCCTGAGGGCACCGAGAGGATGGAAAGAGGGATGAACACATTTGGATATGGGAGTAGAGTTTGCATTGGCAAGAGTATAGCAGAGCTAGAGCTGAGAGTGGCGACGAGGAGGTTCTTTGATGAGTTCGAACCAACTTTGGTAAATCCTGAAAAGCCGTGTGAGGGGAGTGATAACTATGGGCTACTGCATCACCATGGGCTATGGATAACTTTGGAGCGGAGAAAACTCTAGTGATCAATATTTAGGGAAATTTGGGATGTGTTGACGCGAGTGATTACATGTGTTATGATATTGATGAATTCTCCATAAAAATACCGAGTCGTGTTTGTCATTATTGAACGTATGGTTGTTTTCATTTGAGTTTACAGGAAGAGAAAAAGAAAGATAAGAGCAGAATGAGGGCGATGGGACACAAGGAGACCCGAGCCCACATGGCCAAAACCGAACCATTGATTATGTAGGATTGCACACTCCAACGCTGATGATTATTGGTAGCTCTATGGTTTCTTAAACGATACTATGTAGGATAAAATCCATGCCCCGTCCGAGGTACAGACACCTATCCCTACTAAGGGTCGCTTATGGACAGGTTTGGTTGGTGCGTGGTTGGTTAATTGGTCTCTGGGTTCTGGAGTTGAAATTGATTTCCAGTCTAGAGCACTCGTATTTATCTAGAGCGCATCAATCTTTGGTGGTTGAGCGTCTTGCCAGACTAGACATAGCTATAAGATCATGCATGCGTATCCTATATAAAGTAAGTGGATACCCTGGACGGGCGGAGCAGGATCTTAGGTATCCTACTTGATCACTGTTTGTCGAAATTTTGAAGTCGCCATCGGTGTTGGCCGGGCCATGCAAAAAGGATTTGACCATGGGCAAAATGTTATGCGCCAAACCCGGATCGAACGGGTGACCTTCAGATTTGCGGACTGAGTGGAACTTCAGTCTGACGCTCTCCCAACTGAGCTATTAGCGCTTTGATGTACTCCAGTCCACCCTGGCCTATATGAATAAAATAAGTGCAATTGAACGGCTACGCATCGTGGCATCCCACAGTTCGCACTTTTAATAGCATTAAAATTAGGCAATTCACTTTGGGATATGTTATGACGAGCCGCCAACCCTTATTTTCTTTTCCAGATGAGTACTTGGAAGTTCAGACGGTTACACATCCGGTTATTCGGATCAGATATCACTGCATCTGTAGTGCTACTGCAATGCAAAGCTGTCTCAATAAAGTTTGTTTCGATTCAACCCCGCATTGAATCCTTAGTCTACCGGTACTTTGTCTCGTTGTACTGCCCGACCCAGATTATAGCCGGCTTGTCGGTCAAGCATGATCATCATGCATACTCCGATCTATCCAAAACTCCAAATTTCGCCCTCATAATACCCACTACTGTAACAATGATTCCGGGCTTCCCTTCTGGCTCCCAACACCAGATATCTATCATAATACACGATGTTTTAATAACTGCCGCGTCAATATATTTGAAGATCTCAATTACTGCAAACTCGGAATAGTCGGCCCAGCGTGCTTTATGATGACGTCTAGGCGTATACAGGTAGGACGAGCTGCTGTAGGCTCCCGCGGATCGTGTTAACCGCCCGAGGGATCCGGGCCGTGTAGATTAAGTTGGCGCTTGTTTGAACGCTGCAGTTGTGCAAAACGATTGTACAGATGTTCGCACATTCGTGTGTTCAAGGACACGTAGTGTGCAGCTATAATTTTTTTTTCTTACCTTGACAATAGTATTTTCCATATAGAGAAGCTAGATAACCGAAGCTCATGGCTATATCGATAGAGGCACAAAAATGTGTAGTTGTGTAGTTTCGAAAGTTGTGGAAATGGATGAGACATGTCTCAAACTCTAAACTATTAGTCAGCAGCAAATTGTGCGGCTCCCAGGCATAAATATTAGTTGCGTTGTCATGTGTAATTGCGATATCGATGTTACATAAATATGACTTTTCGGAGGTCATGTTTTACGATATTTGCGCGACAGCCCTACTATATTCGCACTGCCGAATTCCGGCTTGACCTTGATTCACGGACCGCCCGCGGACTTCGATCTTCAAGGGGCGGCTAACACACATGGATAGAAAGACGTGCTTTCACGAGTCTGCAGGCCTGGGGGAAGTGTGCAGCGCAGTGTGATCAATGTCCGGAAATTTTTTGGGTCTTCAACCGGCTCTGACAGGCCAGGTGCATATGCAGACGCATGAGCCCAAGATTCGAAATCGGACATCGATCTAACGAGCAAATATGAGCATTCAGTTCGAACACGTTGATGGCGCTTGCACTTGTAATCGCCACTGTCATCTATCATGCAGTTGACTTATCGTAGCCGCATGCACGCCATGGCTCTTGGACTCGAAGAAAAAAAAAGAAGTCCTTAAGTCCGCTCACAACGACGCGAGAAAACAAACCCCGGCATGGGTTTTGCCCTGCGCCTGGAATTCCGAGGGAGCTGTGCCTGGATGGAGCTAGGTGGTGGAGAAAGATCTGCGAGCACGTCATTCAACCGCACTTTGCGACATCGCGGTCGCCCGCAAGCCCGCGATTAGGAATCCACCCCAACTCAACCATCGTTCCGAAATGTTCATCACGGCGTACAAGGGCATCAAAAAGCCTCCTACGCCCCCCCGTTTATGCTGCCCGTCCAGATCCTCTCGCATTTCATCATACCTGCCGCGCTCTAATAACCTTATTTATATAGCCACACCTCCCGCCATATATATAAACGAGATCTGAATGCAATCGTAAAAAACCAACGACCTTCTTCTTTAACATCCTCAGCGACGGTGTCTAGCCTCGCGGCCAATTTTCAACAATGGCCAGCTCCACCGCTGCTACTCCCAACACCGTTAGCAAGATTGGACACGGTCTTGCTAAGATTCTCCACATCGACCTTCAGGAAGAGAAGAACTATGAACAGCAGGTCACTCGGGGGGAGTCTATGTACTCACTTGGGCCTGATGCTGAAGATGTCTATGTGGAGGCCGAACCAACCGTACTAGAGTATTTTCAACAATTTGCTCCAACTTGGGGTGGAACAGGGAATTACTTCCTGAGTTTCTTTCCTTTTGTCACTTGGATCGGTCGGTACAATCTTAAATGGGCCTATGGAGATATCGTGGCCGGTTTGACCGTAGGGTGTGTGGTGATTCCACAAGGAAGTCAGTAGTAATTCTTCATGCTTTCAAAAGAGGATTTTAGCTAACAGACTTTCTTATAGTGGCTTATTCACAGCTGGCATTGCTACCTCCGGAGTTTGGGCTTTACTCATCTTTTGTTGGTGTACTCTTGTACTGGTTCTTTGCAACTTCGAAGGATATCACCATTGGACCCGTCGCTGTCATGTCCACTCTTGTTGGAAATATCGTAGCAGATGTTCCTGTCGCCGACCGTCCGCATGTGGCTTCAGCCCTAGCTTTGATTTCTGGGTGCATCGTCTTCGCTCTTGGAATTTTCCGTCTCGGGTTCATCGTCGATTATATCCCGCTCACCGCCATTGCTGCTTTCATGACCGGATCTGCACTTAACATTGCTGTTGGTCAGGTTCCCACAATGATGGGCATCAAAGGCTTCAATACTCGCGAGTCCACCTATAAAGTTTTTATCAACACTCTGAAACATTTGGGCCGCACTAAAATCGATGCCGCTATGGGATTAACCGCTTTGTTCTTCCTATACCTCCTCCGCTGGGTTTTCACAAGCTTTCTAGTCAAGAAATTCCCACGTTGGCAGAGAACTTGGTTCTTTCTCAGCACACTGCGAACTGCATTTGTAATTTTGCTTTACACTATGATTTCGTGGATTGTTAACCGGAACCGAAGAGACGATCCTCTTTTTGGCATTTTGGAACAAGTACCAAAGGGTTTCCAGCACATGGGACTGCCAAGAGTTAGTTCCAGTGATATCTCGCATTTCACTACCGAGCTGCCGGCAACCGTGATTGTGCTACTTATTGAGCACATTGTAAGTCTTGACATCAGTTCTCATTCGAGACATTAAACTAACCAATCACAAACAGGCCATCTCCAAGTCCTTCGGGCGTGTCAACAACTACACCATCAATCCATCACAGGAACTGATTGCTATTGGTATCACTAACATCTTCGGCCCGTTTTTTGGCGCATACCCAGCAACTGGGTCCTTCTCCCGTACTGCCATCAAGTCAAAGGCCGGTGTGCGAACGCCATTTGCAGGTGTAATTACCGCCGGAATTGTTCTTATCGCTATCTACCTACTCACAGCTGTATTCTTTTACATTCCAGATGCTAGTCTTTCTGCAGTCATCATCCATGCTGTTCTAGACTTGATCACACCACCAAACGCTGTCTATAAGTTTTGGAGAGTGTCACCCATTGAGGCGATTATTTTCTTTGTTGGTGTCATTGTCACTATCTTTTCCAATATCGAAAACGGAATCTATGTTACAGTAGCTGTTTCGGGTGCTCTCCTGCTGTTCCGAATTGCCAAGGCTAGAGGCCACTTTCTTGGAAAGGTTAAGGTGCACTCTGTTGTTGGAGACCATTTGATCGGTAGTTCATCGGACAGCAGCAATGCAACCTCGAGCACAGATTTAGACTCTTTGTCTCGGATACCTGGCATTCCATTGGTGAAGGATTACGGCTCCGTTGGTAGCAAGATTCTAGCACCAGACTTTGACTCCAGTCGGAACGTTTTCCTGCCGCTTGACCACCGTGATGGCTCTAATCCCTCAGTCGAAGTCGTATCGCCTTATCCAGGAATATTTGTCTACCGTTTCTCTGAAGGTTTCCTCTACGCCAATGCATCTCACTACACGGAACACCTTGTGTCACACATTTTTGCTACCACTCGCCGCACAAACGCACAGGCGTATGGAAAGCCTGGTGACAGGCCCTGGAACGACCCGGGCCCAAAGAACCCCGAGAAACAAGCACAACTCGAGAGCGAGTTGCCAACCCTGAAAGCCATTATCCTTGATTTCTCATCCGTTAATAACGTCGACATCACCTCTGTTCAGAACCTCCTCGATGTCCGGACCCAGTTGGATCGGTACGCTTCCCCAGACATAGTCGAGTGGCATTTCGCGTCAGTCGGAAACCGCTGGACCAAGCGTGCTCTCAGCTCTGCCGGTTTCGGCTTCCCACCAGACAACGGCAAAGATCAGTGGAAGCCTGTGTTCTCCGTCGCCGAGGTAGCGGGCAGTGAGGAGGTCACTGTTTCTGACGGGGAGATCGAGCGCCAGATTGAGAAGGCGCGGGACGGCGACCCAGAGGCTGCGAGAGGCCTTACCAGCATTGAGCGGAGACGCCGCAAGATTGTGCCTGTTGCCAGCATTGGCAGGCCATTCTTCCATGTCGATCTTGAAGGGGCCGTGGCGAGTGCAGTGCGGAATGTGAAGATCATTTCTTAGGTTGTTCTTTTGTTTGAATATTGCATAAATGGCGCACTTTGCTTTTTGGAGTTATTTACGCCTAGTAGGCCAGGTTTTTGGTTCATTTGGGATGGCGGGTGTGTTTTTGAGTGATCAATATATATCTTGAACGAGGTTTATAGCGGGACGAAGATACTATGTTTATTAAAGATCATATTTTGATTCGAGATACCATCATACTACTTTCTTAGACAGTCGATAACGAGTGATTAAAGTGCACACGTGATTTTGCGAAGGACAACTGTCACATCAAAATCACGTTTCTGAGAAGTTAATACCATGAAGAAAATATGTACAAATTGTCTTAGACTATGAATAATCATCGATCTGCATGACTGCTTACTGCTAAGAAACATAAAATTCTAAACTGTGAACATTCCGAGTTTTTCTTGATTGGTTGAGCTGCTGCTGCACTGTACGAAATTCATTCATGCTTTCACCTGTGTGACCATCCATGCATGTTATTCGGCAGCAACCGCAACCTCATTCGCGACTTTCCAAGCCTTATCAGTTGTCAGTTTGAACCTTTTCTAATAGACGCAACAGT